AAAGAAAGAAAGAAAGAAAGAAAGAAAGAGAAAGAAAGAAGAAAGAAAGAAAGAGAAAGAAGAAAGAAAGAAAGAAAGAAAGAAAGAAAGAAAGAAAGAAAGAAAGAAAGAGAAAAAGAAAGAAAGAATGAATTAGTGAATTGCTAACTGAATTAATGCAAAGCCTTCCATTACAGTTCTAGCAGAAGGACAGGCATGACCATATCCAGGTATATAAACCATTTACCTGTCTCCTGACCTACTCAACGCATTTGGCTTTTAACAAAAAAAAATTATGAGACATACAAAAAGGCAAGAAAAAGCCAGTATACTGCCACGTGACAGAGTAATCATCAGAAATAATTTTCAGCTTTACTATAAAGTGCAAATAATTAAGAGAGTGTGGTATTGGTGGAAGGATAGATTTACAGATAAATGGAACAGAATAGAGAATCCAGAAATAGACCCACACAAATATAATCAACTGATTTTTAACAAAGATGCAAGGGCAATTAAATGGAGAAATGCTAGTCTTTTCAAGAAATCATGTTGGGGGGTGCCTGGGTGGCTCAGTTGGTTAAGCAACTGCCTTCAGCTCAGGTCATGATCCTGGAGTCCTGGGATCGAGTCCCGCATCGGGCTTCCTGCTCAGCAGGGAGTCTGCTTCTCCCTCTGACCCTCCCCCCTCTCATATGCTCTCTCTCTCTCTCAAATAAGTAAAATCTTTAAGAAAAAAAAGAAATCATGTTGGAACAACTGGAGGACCATAAGTAAAGAAGGCCGGGGGGGCTTCAGTGTGTATCTCACATCTTATATAGAAATTAACTCAGTTACAAAGGTTAGTATCAACAGTAATTAGTCATGCTGATAGCACTGGCCCCTGATATGATGTGAGAAGGGCCATTACCTACATGATATTCTTCCCCCAGATCCTTAACATCAGTCTATTCATGAAAAAACATCAGAAAGACTGAAATTGAGTCACATTTTACAAAATAGCTCACTAGGGATACTTTATACTATCTTTTTAGTGATTCTGTAAATCTAAAGCTGTTTTAAAATTGTAAGTTTTAAGAAAAAGAGAAATGGACGTGAAGTCACATACCCTATTTCCCTTGGAGGAGAAGGTTGAGGTAGAGTGAACGCAGAGTAGCAACCAGGGAAGCCAATGAAATTGGCATTTCAGTGATTTATACTTGATGCCATTAACTTTCAGATGTTTCTCAAGCCTAGTTTGTGCGAGGAGACCATTTCATTTTCTGTAAATAGGAACTTTGGTGGAAGAACTAGAGCCTCTGAAGGGGGAGTGAGGGCTCCTAATGTTAACTCCTGTTCTGCTGCTTATACCCTCAGCACTTAATTCCCACAATCTTTTTCACTTCAAGTATTGGCATGTTGGGATTCTGAGTCTCTGGGTTAGAGCCTCTTGACTTCACCTCTGCTTTTTATTTCCCCAGATTTATGAGTTTGTGTGGTATTTACCTAGATCTGCCCTTCTGTCTAAGTGTCCATAACTGGATGTGATTTCACAAAGGTAGGGTTGATCAGCACCAATGTTGTACTCTAAGTCATAGTCTTACCTTTGTAGCCTACACCATGATGGGATGGAATAGACCCCGTTCACAGTGATATCCCCTTCTTGGGAATCGCAACTGAAAAAGACAGACCCGCACTAGCCAAGTCTTTACACCAGTCCCAATCTAGGACAACCAGAGTCTCAATCCCAGGAATGTGAAATTTTGAACTGAAAGATACAGGAATGAAAGACTGAGGACAAAGTGTAGGAAATTCTGCCCCCAAGGGGCCCACAGTTATTTTCATTCTGTTATTTCTGAGGCTCGGATACAACCTGTATTCGTTTTCTATAGTTGTTGCGGCAAATTACCACACACTGAGTGGCTGAAAACATGAACTCTTTCACTAATAAACATTAATAAAGCTACTAATTCTGTCATAGCTCTGGAGGCCAGAAGTCCAAGATGAAGTTGTCAGCAGTGCTGTATAGTCCCTGCAGAGGCTCTGGGGGAGAATTTGTTCCCTGTCTTCCCTGGGTTCCTTGGCTTAAGGCTTCATCACTCCCATCTCTACCTCTGTCTGCACATCTTCTCTGTCTTTCCCCTTTGTGTGTCTCTTATAAAGACACCTGCCGTTGGATTTAGGGCCCACCAAGATGATTTCCTCATCTCAAGATCCTTAATTACATCTACAAAACCCTTTTTCTAAATAAGGTAACATTCACAGGCTAAGATATTTTGGGAGAGCACCATCATTCAACCCAATACCCCACCCTTCCAATTATTTTCTTAAACTAAGTAGTGCCAGTTTCCATTACTTGCAACCAAAATAAAACTAGTTTGGTCTCTCGATGCTAGCCGTGCAGTTGTAAGTGGTTTGCACCACCTGTATACTAAGCTTGACTTCAGAAATTCTCGAAGTTCAATGTAGTAAGAGTTACTTTGGAATTTATTAAGAATGCAGGTTTCTGCCCTCCTCCTCAGTTTCTCAATAAATTGGTCCAGGAATCTGCATTTTTAACAATTCTCAGGTGGTCCTGATGATAAAAGAACAGGAAAAACTGTGAAACCTCAGACCCATTAACGTCCAATTCAAATAAAACCAAGAGGAAAAGCAATGAAAAATAATTTGAAAACTTTAATGATGTTGTTTAGATAGTAAAAACATAAAATCTTTTAAATAAAGTACATTCAATTTCTCAGAGCATCTAATATTCAGATAATTTATATTTCATATACTTTCCAACATTAAATAATTGACTAAATAATGCATTTTCTATAAAATGATATTACAGCTTATACAGGTAAAAGTACATTACAAAAACACTCCACACAGGAAGAATGGCAGTACCTATTAAGAAATGCTATAAACTTTCCATTAAAAAATATATTTTATCTCTCATTTGTCATTATAATAAACAGAATATATATTTTTCTAAAATTGTCTTACACAATTTCCCTTTAGGATGATAATATGTACAAACCTTATATCTGAATGAATATAAATAGAAATACTGTAATAGTGTTATAGATATATTAGTAACTTTTACAGAAAAAAAATATGGCTTTCTAATAAAAGCCTCTAGCACAGCTGAAATCTCAAAGCTATTTAAGTTAGACATTCCCATATTTAGTAAGGCACAATGGATCTAGTTTCTTATTTCCAGTTGAATTACTGTGAGCAGTAATAAGGGAAAATATAGTCAGTAGATACGGGACCAGATCTATCAGTTGGATAAACTATTTGGGGTTTATTGAACTTTTGGGGGAGATGTTAGTTCTTTCTCCACACCATTCTTTCTTTTTGTGCCCTGTGGCCAAATCTAGTGCTTGGAGATGAGAAAGAAATCACTGTACCTCCCTCAAGTGCCTGAGAAACAGTTTACTCATTCATTGGATCTGGTCTATTGTGAGGAAATAGCCCAGTGACCATTTCCGGTTATAAGCAGCTTATTTTTACTGATTGGACCTGGCTCCCTATCATTTCTAAAAATAGCTTCTGATATAATCTGTACATGGTGAAGCTGTGAAGGAACCTGATGGTCTTCTTCAGGCTCTGAGTGACAGTTTTGGGGAAGTGGTATGTTTTCAAGTGCTTCAGCGCATGCATTAAGCCCTTCAGGGTGTCTTGGTCGCCATTTTTTATTCTCCACAGGCTGAGCAGCTTCAGAATCTGCTCACTTGATTTGCATGCCTTCAACGTCTTCTCAATGTCTTCTGTTGTGACTTTCTTCCCTGGCAAGCTTTCCATCAAGGTCCGGAGCTGCTCAAAGGTGAGGTTTATGTGTCCAATGTGCCGCTGTACGCTGTTTTCACACAGGTCGATATCTGCATCAAGCAAAAGCCCGGAGAGACGGTCACATAATGTATATTCTAAAGCCACCACCACAAAACGACCATGAGGCAGAAGGAGCTTCTCCCAGAATTTCATAAATTTATTTTAAGGATAACCTTCCCCTTCCTTTTTATGGCGGAGGGGAGGGCTAAGTGATGCTAGTTATTTGTGAGAACTGAGTTGAATATTATTTCGTGTTATAAAGGGTAATGTGCTTTATGTATTCTAGGCAACCAGCAGAGCTTTGTGAAAAGCCCTGATTTTGGAAATGAACAGTAGAAAACTATAGACACATCACCCTCAGTTTTCTAAGAAAAACTGGAAAAATTAAAACGATAACATTTCAGAAAAATAGGAATAAAGTATTCGACTTAGCCATTTTGTAATATAAACTTTCATTAGTGGTTATGTGATATATACCTCATTTGAAGAGTTGGGTGTGATAAATGGTCTTTAATAAATAGCACCAGAGGATTACTATGGAGGAGGAGGAGATCTGAAAAACTCAATAGAATGAGGACAAAGAATGGTAGGATTCATATGGCCTAGAGAATATTTCAGTAATGAGCTGGGACATAAACATAAGAGGGAGTATCTAACATTTCCATTAATGACATGAGTCATTTGCTGTCTGTGAGCCCTAAGGCAAGTCAGTTCATCTTTTTGGACTGAAATGTGCTTATTTATAAAATAGAGAATTTGGCCCCTTCCAATTCTGACAGTCCCTGATTCTCTTATCCCATCTCTTCCCCCACCCCCCTTTTTCTTCCTGCTTCAGGGCTAATTATACTTTCAAAGAATACATTTTATTTGCCAAAAACAGAAGAAAACTTTACTCTGCACAAGTGAAAGTCAAAAATCTTAGTCTCCTAACATAACAGGCCTCAGTTTCAGATGTTTGAGGCTTTTTGGGAAGTATAGGACTCTTTGGTCATCTAACTACAGGTAAAGAGCAGATGGGTTTCTCACTTTGTCTGCATTATGAAAATCTTCCTCCTCCTTTCTGGCAGGTGCTCCCAATGCTAACTGAAGTCAGAACTCTTTCCACTGTATATCCTAAAGCTTACAGTCCACACTGCATGAAACTTCCTTTTCCCCTTGGATTCTTTCCCATCATAACACACACACACACATACACACACACACACACACACAGTTTCTAAAGGAGACTTTTTTATAAAAGTCTAAAACATGAGAGTACTTGGTTTTAACTAGCCCTTTTCTCTAAGAAGCTCAAACACTTTACAGACCTCATCTCATTAATCCTCACAACATATGCTATTAAAATGGTAATTTTAAAAATAGGCTATGCTGTTAGGATTAATGAGAGGACATCTGTAAGACACTTGGAGGCCCTCTGGACAGAATTACCAAATAAATACAAATAAATACAACAGAGCTTCTTGGTGGAAATGCAAGATAAGATCCAAAGTGTTTAAAGAACATCTAGGTAGGCCAGAGGGGATGCTAATAAAACTGCTAAGGGATCTAGAGGTGGAATTCCTGAGGTCTAGTCCTGTATTGAAATGGACTGTCTCTTGTTTTAGAATGTTCCATATACTTTAAAAAGCAGTCGGGGTGTGGAGGAGGTGAGAATAAAACCTTGCACGACCGCTCTAGGGATATCTTCTATAACATTGCTTGGTGAAAACATTTTAGTCCAATAGTAATTCCCAAAGGGAAACATTGTCCACACAACTGAACAGGTACATAGTCTTCTTGTTTATGATAAATAGGTGTGATTTCTGCTTGATTTGTTTATTTCAGGTTATCATACCTTGGAAGATCTTCTTGAACATATCTTGATCTTTGTTTTGATGCTTCCATAACTTCAGGAGCTGGAAAGTTTGCTCTTGTGGGCTGTGTCGCCGTTTTATCCTCTCTACGCTCTCTGCGTTTACTCTGGTGCCCGGCAAATTATCGACCAGGACACTGAGCCAATTAGGGGTGAACTTTGTAGGAACAGCAAACCTGAAGAATGCCTCCTCACACAGGGTGACGTCTAAAGGTGGGAAAACCAAGAAGATTTACTTAGCAACTGGATTCTTGGAAGTCTAGTGGGCAGTAAATAAATAAGCCAACACAACCGGGGTTTTTCAAAATCGAATGTGTTAAAATGTGAAGTTCGGATCAAATCAACCCTCTGTTGGCTGGTCTTAGTGGCAGACTGTCAACCCAACTGGGCTTATGTCCTTTCTAATGTTCTTTTAGGGCATTTAGGGGAGAGAATTTAACAAATGTCTAATGAAAACATTGCTATAAATAAATTGCAGCAAAAAATTCTGTGTCTCGATATACACATTCACATATTTGAATGTAAATATTAAATATCCCGTTAAAGGGTTAGCTAGCATCCACAGGTTACTTCAAGATCAATGTCAAAACAAATATAATTACTGTCTTTAGAGGAGCATGAAAAGTAACCTAGAGTAGTAGACTGTTTTCTGCACACACATAAACACATAGTTTACCTTTGAGAACAAGGACGGAGATGGATGTATAAGCATACATTAAGTGGGAAAACAATCAACACAAAAAAATATGCCATTTAGAAAGGAGGTACAATGGCCTGAGAGTCTGGATAGATTAAGAGTTTGTCTTCAGATTCATCAGACGTGGCTTTGAATTCTGACTGCCACTTCACCACCTATACTGAGCCTGAGCAAACGTCACAGTGTTTTTGTAAAGATTAAAGCTCATATAGCAGAAGTAGCTGGCACATAGTAAGTGCTCAATGAATGATAAAAATAAAACTGAAACTGAATTAAATAAAGAGAGTGTTAAAGTTAGAAGTCGCTCCTCTTATCACTCCTTCCCTCGTCCCATTGTTTGACTAGGAAAGCAGAAAGGCTAAATGACTTGTCGAAGATTCGGATTACAGGGTGAAAACATGTTGGAACTGGGTGTGAATCTCAAATACCTCAGCCCACATTCCTATGTTTCATATTCTTCTATGTCATACGAAAAGATGCTTGGGGGGGAGTCAAGCTGGTTAAATGATAAAAGGCAGGTCATCTTTGGTGTGATGCATCCTTGATAGAAGGTCTGAGATTAGTCTAGTAGTAGGAATGACACCGCTATGGGATGCAGTCACATAATGAGCTTGGAGCTAGTGACCCTTCCTGAATACAGAGTTTAGGACAATCAGAGGAACTGATCACCTCTGTGCAGTCGAGGCAGTAACACCACAGGTAACAAAGCCAGGTTGGTACTGTCTGATTTGTTACCAGTTTATGTCACGATGCTTCTTGGTTGCCAGTTTTTATTCTTTTTTTTTTTTTTCCAGTTTTTATTCTTAAAAGTAATAAAAATGCATGATTTACCAAAAACTCTACAATTCGGACTGATAATTTGGCCTTAGACATAATCTTTACACAACCCCTTTCCCCATGGGTAAGATTTGATTCAAGTGTAAAAGGGAGAAAGTCAAGTTGGGGAGCACGATCATGACAAGGTGAGACCTCTGGAGAGATTGTGACTTGTGGTCTTAGTGAGGCAGAGAACAGTCGTAGCCGGTTAACATTCAAGAATGGAAAAATATGGTTCTCTAAGAAGGTAGCCAGAGGATCTTGCATTCAATTCAGAGGTGGTACCAAGGCTGACATTTTGAAATATAATTACCTATTCCACATTTTTGAGTCGATTCACTGTTTCCAGAACATACATTGTCATGAGTTTCATTTCCTTTCTGAGTTAGAAGGAGACCAAATGCACTGCAGTTTGTGTGTTTTCTACAGGGTGCTTTAGATGACGTCTCATTCGAGAAGAACCCATCTGGACATCTTTTGCAAACTGTATTTCGCTCTGGGGTTCCTACAGAAAATACCAAGCAATTTAGCACTTTCTGCTCAAATACTTTCACAGCAGACAGTTCCTCTTAAGACCGTTTTGGAAAGACTTTCCACTTGGTTTTTACTGCTACTATCATGTTGCACAAAACTTCAAGCATTTTTCACTTCATTAGACAGAGACGGAAACCTCTACAGCTAGGAGCCCCTCAGCAGTCTCCCTTCCCTGTAATACAAACACAAGTGTGTTGTGCTGTCACCTACAAAACACGAAATGAGAGGAAAGGAAAGAGCAAGGGTGTTCACTTGTCCTGCCTGTGCTCACGCATCGGTGAGGCCTCGTTTTCAGCCAGATTCTTCACACATTTCTTTCTAGAAAATCATGAAGATAACTGCTGTGCGTCTGCCGTAATAGCATTCTTTGAAATCAGTACCCACTGAACGCTGGGTTGTTAAATTCCAATCGGTGCCTCCTGAAGTCCTGTCTTTCCTGAATCCTCATTGTGAAGCAACTCATAAGTAATGCTAACCTTGAGAAGTAAAAATTTACAACATTATAATAAACTTTTGAAGGTGGCAATAAAGTTGGTCACTGACTCAAAAGCCTAAGCCTGCAGTTAAGCTACACAGTAAATGGGAGATGATAAACCGTTCGCTTAAACTATTGAGTTTTAAAAGAGCACAGTCGTTAAAATTTCAGGGAAGGGTGACTGCAAGGGCATTTTATTTCATGGTGGAAAGATACTTGATAAGTTTGGAGAATTCGCTGGTTAGAAAAACTTGAACCAGCCAACAACTAAAGATAAATACCCTCCAACCCTTGACTCTGTCATGCGCAGCCAAATTACACATTACAGTGTATTTGCATATGAAAATACCTCCATCTAGTGTAAGCTAGTTGAACAGATGCAGACTTCAATATTCAAATATAGTTTTCCAGGCCAATTCTGGCTCAGGCGAGATAACAAATACAAAAGGGACAAATGAAAGCTACAGAAAGTTAATAAACTTCATTTATTAAAAATTCAAACTCCCCACCTCATTGTATCAAGACCAGAAGAAAGAAAGAAAGAGCAAAACGGTTTGGTTCTAGTTTCAGCTCCTGCTTCTTCTAAAGGGATGGATGATGCATTGATCAGTAAAAATGACAAAGGGCTGGCAAAAAAAAAAAAAAAGAGGAAGGGGCTAACCACGGTCTGAATCTTTCCCATGCCATTTCCAGCATTGCAGTGACATCGTGTTAGGAAAAACTTTACATAGAGTTCTAATTTTTTTGTTTTGTTTTGTTTAATACTTTCTTACTACACCTCTCTCCTTCAGTGGGATCCAAATGCACACCAGTTCCTACAATATCATAAGCAGAGGTATTTGACTCCATAGTATTCTGTCACTGCACAAAGAAGAATCTTATCATTCTTCAGATACATGCTGAAGGCTTGGGTTGCGCCATGCATCTGGATGAGAAGGTCAACGATACAAGACATTCTTTCAGGTAACGGAGCTTGTAAAGTTCTTTAACAAACAGAATCCAAGAATAATGGAAGGTAAAGTTTCTGAAACATTTGGGAGGCTTTCAACAATGACCTTTTTGAACAGGACTTCCCTCTTTTACCGTTGTTAGAACTTTCTGTAAAAAAAGATTTACCCATCTAAGTAAAAGACTTTGCTTTATTAATATCCATGGAAATGTAAACGGTATAACCTGACAGGCAAAATGGGAGATATTATAATGAGGAGAGGAGCTCTGCTCTCCCGTTGAGGATGTCACCATGCCAGCCGTACGGAAGGACATCGGAATGACAGGACACACAGACAGATGGGAGTAGGTAAAACATAGACAGGGGACAATCTGACTTCAAAACGACAGCAGCAAGGAATGGTTAATACTTTGTGGAATAACACTGCATAGTCCGTCGTTCCCTTTGGACTGGAAACCTCTTATTTTCCATGAGGAACTCTGCCCTGTGGGTTTTTAGGGAGGGAGAGGTAAGTAAGTAAGCCCCACTGTGGTAGCGCAAAATAAAATGTGTCTCTTTGTCTTCTGGCTGCCTGCTTGCTTCATTCCCTAAACAAATTTTCATGCTGATGTGATAAAATTCCTTGCCATTTCCATTATTTTCCAAATTTTTCTAGTTTCCAAGCTGTAGAGTCCCTGCTTAATTAATTTTTCTGCATATACAACTGAACTGAATTGAATTAAACGGATTTGGTTTTGTTGGGTGAGTTTGACGCCCCCTACAATTTGGTTTAGGTTTTGAATCCCAAAGCATCATCCAATAAACGCTAGGAAGTGTCACCCATTTCTCCCTCAAATACGCATGCTAGAGACATTTTAAGGGACACTCCTGCAATTTGCACCTCCTGTAATTATTCTTAAACGATTCACAACTTAGGAAACGAAACAGGTTTCAACTTTTGAATGTTTCCTTCATATGCCTTTAAACTTAAAATATTTGCCATCGAATAATTTAGGCTCTGTGTATCACAACTTCTGAACGTTAAAATAATTACAAGTAATGAGCGTCCTCTAAGCCAGTGGTTCTCAGCCAGGGGGGATTTTGGCATCCAGGGGACAACTGACAATGTCTGGAGATATTTTTGGTCGTCATAACTCAGGGAGGAGTGCTGATGGCCTCTAGTGGCTAGAGACTAGGGATGCTGCCAAACATTCTACAATGCACCGGACAGCTGCCCACAAAAAGAATGACCCAGCCCTAAATGTCAGTAGCACTGTGGGTGAGAAACTCTGCTTCAGAATCTATACTGATTACTACTCCCTCCAGAAAAGTGGGGGAAAAAAAAAAAAGTAAAGTAAGTAAATATTCTTAATTTTCCCAAGCCACAAGAGGATACAGCCTCCATTGAAGCTTCGTGAGTGTGGTAGGGAAAAATGTGGGTTGCAGCTTTAAAAGATTCAGTGCACGTGCACACTGGCCCTAACCTATGCTGTTCAAAATGCAAGAAGAGGAAAGTACTTTGTTTGTAGACAAGTACTGACTCTTGGCTTGATGATCTGTTTTGTCTAAGATAAAGAATAAGCTCATTTTAAGAGATGCTGCCGGGCTTTATCCTCACAGACACTCGACACCCCTGCCAAGGGAAGAACTAGCTTCCTTTTTAATAATGAAATGCATTTCCCCTAACCATTCTCATTTTTTACATAACTAATTATAACTGCTCACTGTTAGCACTCCAGAGCCTCATTGATATCAGCCTAATTACTCTCTTGGTATCAATTATCATTTCTGATGTTTGTCAAAAAGCACCGCAGTCTGAAGCTGTCCGTGCTGAAGGGAAGCACAGAGGAATCAGCTATTTTCCCAGTGCGACTCCGAGTGTGTCCCTTTAAAAAAGAGTACTCCATCACGCATCTCATTAAAGAGCCTTTTGCCGCACTGGAGATTTGTCACTAAATTGCCCCCGAGTGGCAAAGTATTCCTCTGAGAAATGGTCCTTTGGCAGCAAGCCAGCCCCATAGGACGTACCTAGCAGGTTCTATTACCTTTGCAATTTGCTATCCTACAATATCATCAGGCCAAAAGCGTTCCCTTAAACTTTCAGTACTACCTGACTCTACGATCTCATTAATTTTGCCGCGTGTCGAGAGGCGATGCGTACCAGCGTGGAGCACTCCAAACCCAGGGGGACAGCTCCTGTGCTTCAGGCAGAACTCAAGCTCCAGGTAGCGCCCTTCCTCACACTCGCACACCCGGTTGTGAGTGCGATTGCACTCCTGCTTGACGTACTGGAGCTCCTTGCACACCGGGGTGCAGTACAGACACTCGTCGCTGGTGTGCCATCGGTCTGTGTAGTAGTGGCTGGGACAAGGGGCGCACACGGTCTTCCGCCTTGCTGTGCAGTGCTGTTTTAGGGAGGTGCCGGGAGGACATTTGTCACACATCAGCTGACGAGAGGTCTCTGGGTCATAATGAAGGTACTTTGGAGGAAAGGTTTCCTGGGTGGTCCATTTAATGGAGATGTCCAGGAACTAGGAGAGACGGAAACCGTGAACACGTTAGTATGGAGATAGGGTGGCTCTTCTGTGCAAAAGCATCGTTCGACTAAAAAAGTCCTTTACTACCTGAAGCCTCGTTACCTTCCTGCCTACAGGGCTGCACCACAGAAAGAAGTTCAGAAGCCCTAATTCTTGCGTCTAGTAGCTTAATCTCAAAGACCAAGATGGGGGTGGTAACACACATTGTATTAAGTAAACCCAGGCTCATAGATGACAGGACTAATGAGCTGTATGAATTAGTGGTTCTCAGAATCCAGAATCTACGCCAGAATCTCCTAGACTCCCTGATAAAAACGCGGACTCCTGGGATTCAGACCTCCACCCATTCTGATTCCACAGGTGTGCAGCTGGGATTTGGGATTTTAAAAAATCCCCCTGCAGTGACTCCAATGCGTGGAATCCGTACTCAATAACTATCTGTTCGTTTATTCGCTTCACAAATAGCTATTGAGCCCTTAATATGTGCCAAGCTCTGTGCTGGGCAATTAGAATGCAGCAGTAAGTAAAATAGTTAAGAAACCCTGCTCTGGCGGAGTATACAATACACTTGGGTGGTGGGTAAGAGAATAAATATTACAGATAAATTACATGTTAGAAGGTAAGTGTTGTAAAAAAAAAATCAGCAAGTCTAAGAGATTGGAAACATGGAGGGTGGGAGACTAACAATATTTAAATGGGGAGGTTGCTGTAGCTATATTTAGGACTTGATGTATAGTGAAAGAGTTGGTGATGTGTGAAGACTGCATGATTACATCAACAGTCATCCTGATCATTCATTCATTCATTCATTCATTCATTCTTGCAGCAGCTAGGCACTGAATGCCTACCAGGAATGCACCAGGAATATGCTGATAAGCGAGACATACACCCTGTCCTCATGGAGCCTGCAATTCCTAGAATTTTAAGACTGATATTTCTTCCAGAACATCATATGGTCCAGTCTTGACTCTTATAAATGATGTCAAGAAAATTAAAGGACCACCTCTTTTCAGGTTGATTGGGAAAAACCTCAGGGAACAGGCAGGGTTTCAGAAGTTTCTATACATAATGTCAGGAAGAGGTCCAGTACAGCAGGAGAGAAAATTTCGTGAGTGAGGGTCCTTCTTGGGAGGACAGCTCCAACTGGGCGCTCTGTCTTGTATTCTAGATCTTCAAGGGAACATGGAATTAGTTCTTCACACTAATTACAGAAATCACATGCTAAGAAACAGTGTTGTTTGTGTGTAGGGGGTGGTTTATTTGGTTTTTATTGTTTGTTTATGGTACAGGGATCAACACTGACTATTTTCAGGCTGTGGGGAGGTGGCAGACCAAACACAATATTTTTTTCCAAACTTCTCTTCTTTATAGAACACAGGAAATCCCACAGAAGCCCCTTGACCTGGGGAAAGCATGGGAGCTAGGGAAACAGCACTCCCTTTTGAATTCGGAGTGACAAAGGTAAAGAAGGGCCCTTCTCATAAGCATTTGGGCATTTTCATCTAATTAACAACACATTCACTTCTTACTGGGACATGACAAGCGTCAGGGCTGACTAGACCTAATATGAGCTGATAAACCAGAAGAAAAGAACAAAATATCTCACCTCAGGCTATGGACTTTGGAACCAAGAGCAATTTTCAGAGTCCTGTGAGGTAAAGGACTCCTAACCAACAAAGAGAATACAACGCAAAATCAGGGCTGCTCTGGGGATCTTCTCAAGACACCCTCGTGACCTGAGGGTTTCTAGAGAAAATATGTTCTTGAATTTCTCTGGGGCTTTCTATTGGCTAAAAGTTCATCAACATTAGTAGAAAGAAGAAATGAACCAGTAGTGGGTGGAAACTGGTTTGCTCTGAATCTTTCAGAAATTTGGAATCTATTTATTCATTCAACACACATTTGGTGAGCACCCACAGTGCACCTGGCACTGTAGAAGGAACTTAGCATATAGTGGTGCACGAAACAAAGACGGTTGTTGCCTTGAAGGAGCTCAGTCTAGCGAGGGGTAGATGGCGAAGAAGTGAAGAAATAAATAATTACAAGTAGCAATCAGTGTTTCGAAGGAAACAGAGCAAGATGGAAAAGCTTGGTGGCTACTTGGTCATTCGAATGGTTTATGCTACCTCTCTCAAGGCCCCTTGTGTGGATTTGGCTTAAATATTTCTAAAATCTTCAATGCTAGGGAATGAAGTTTTCCTGATGCAACTTGCAGACACATGGAAGCAAGGAGAAATGCTTTTTTCTCTTGCTGTTCACCTTTGATTTCCTGAAAGACCATTTTTAAAGATTATGTCACTTTCAAGAGCCTTGACTCTGAGGTGCAAAGGGACACCTTTGTCCTCTGTGCTACTGCTGAGTGAGCCCCATCTTGGTAGGACTGGAATTCCTAAAACTTCCTCCAGCCTGACTCCCCATCAGTCCCCCTTTCCCACAACAAGGCTCAGTTGTGCCCATTTACTCATCAGCTGACTCTTTCCTCCCTTATCAAGAAGTGATGAGGATGGTATGGGAACCACCGACCCCCAAGATGGTGCTTGTGTTCCTCACTAGAAGGAGCCACACAAATTGAAGATCTGACGAAGAAAGCTGATGCAATTTATATTTTTCTAGGCAATTGGACATGACACTGTTGGTTTCCAGAAACCATGCTTTGGAAATTAGTTGCCATTTCTTCAAAATACAGGGAAGTTGAGGTGAAAGGAATCCACAGAGAAATAAATAAATAAGGTTGACTTAAGGATTAGATTAGTGAAGGTAATTTCTCCAAGGCATGGGATTCTCCAAGGCATGGGATTATCATATATATTTTTAAAAAATCAGAAAGCCATGAGGAACTGCAAAATAACTTGTTTTTAGCAACTTCTATTGGGCCTCTGTGTTTTATTTGAAAATTTTCCACTTTGGTAAAAAGACAGAACTGTGTGGCCAAAACTGGACGGGTAGGTCTCAATCTCTGGTTAGCCCCAGTTCCCACACAGAATTTCTGGAACCAGCTACTGGACAGAGGATGGGCAAGATCAATAGAGCTCTTCATCTCAGTCCTGTCTCTTACTTTCTTCAGCATTTCCTGG